CAAATATAGATTAAATTAAGTAGAAAAAAATCTTCTTTTGACTGGAGTGATTCTCCAAATTAACTAAATTAACTGATGCTCACACCACCAAGTAGACTTATCTACCATTATATATGCAATTAAAGAACGTATCTCGCAGATAACTTGCACTGTGAGGAAACAAAAACATCAGTAAAGTGGCCACTGAATTAGAACCAATAGTGTGTAGTGTTAGTCTCCTTTACAGCACTATAAAACTGTTTTTCCTCACTGCACCCTTGAAGCTCTCAGCCTTCCAAAAATGCTAAATTTGCTGCTGTAAACCTGACTGTCATTTCTTTATTCAGTTACGAACAGTAATGTGTGTCTAACGCTAAAAATGATGTTACATGTACATCTAATCCTTCCTAATCCAGAAATCCTGGACCACAAAACTGGACTCATCTTCAGCTGGTGGCGTAAAAGCAGCTCGAACATCAAAGTGAGGAAGTGCATAGAAAAACACATTTTTAATCGGGTCACATTTGAAGAATCCTTCTGAAGTCACAAAGGCCGGCTACGAGCGTTGTCTCTTGAGCATCTTGCAGTCTCGGGAGAAAGCCTAAGGTCAGCTGTCTGCCCCTTTTCTTTACGCTCTGCCTGCGTGGTGCTGGTGCAGTAATTCCTTCCACCTGCATCTCTGTTCTCTAACAGCCTCATATTTAAAGTCTCTTAAATGTCTGATGCAGTTTCCTTATATAAAGATGTGGACTACAAGACAGAAGGAAAACCCCGGATTGGGTGTAGCTTCTCCTAAGTCCTCTGTTGCATCATTTTAAATGATTCCACACAGTTTTATTATTTGGTGACACTTCTGCACTCAATTTATCTGGTAATGAAAAACATTTACTACCTCTGGCTACAACGGTTTTGAAAAGAACGAGCGGAAAGACCCTCATTTGTTCTGTGAAAGAAACCGAGTAGGAGGATTTTGAATATTTTAAAATGATCAACGACAAAGATGCTTTGTGCAAACATAACAATATCAAAGTGATCTGCAGCATAATTTTGCAAATACACTCCATTGTGGAGCAGTGTTTTCACTTGCATTTGGACGATGCTATCATCTTGAGCAGGACTTTATTTGTATTCTTTGGATGCCTGAAATAAACTCCTAGGTAGACCGTGCTTTACCCTCACATGCAACCCTCATCATTACATTGCCTCTTTCCTTCACCTCCTCCTCACTAATGAATCTCACTAATGTAATCTGATCATCATCGTTACCATCGCCATCATCTGTATGGATTTCCATTAACATAAATACCGCTATAAATCTTCTTTAAGGTTCAGCACAACAATTTCAGCGATGATGCTAAATGGGGAAGAATTATACTTACAGTATTAACAGGTTTCAGTGTCTGCTCCCTCCAGTCCAGCCAGTCAGTGCCTGAATTATTTATAATTTACCTTGTTATTTTTCATTTGTTTACATATTTTAGCACAACACGCATTCGTGATTTAAGCCTGTGTATTTCCTGGCTTGAAAAGTGAAAATGTTTCTTAGTACCTTAACTCAAAGAAAAATCTACTTTGCAGTTCTTTGATTAAAAGTCAGAGGAAACTAAATATATATGCAGTTGTGCAGTGAAGGGTATAATTAGATGAAGCAGCACTAAATTAAATGACCAGGGGAAAGGTTTGAAGTTAAATTGACTTTTGATTCAGATTAAATTATAACAATGGTGCTATTAACATCGGGAACATCAGAAGGAATAGTGGTGATGCTGGTGGTTACTTTTCACACATTCATTTCTGACTTCATTGTTAATAAAATAAGTTTCCCAAAGACTGAGATTCTCCTCGAAATAAAACAATCCAAGTGCAACTTTAAGGGTAATGGTACTCTTAACCAAGGTCAATAAGTCAGGAAGTACCTTAGAGACTCATTATTTCAGTGAGATGTTATTTTCCATAAAGTGCCAAAAGTGCCCACAAATCTCACTTAAAGCTGCTTTGTTGTCATTTCTGGCCACAAGGGGGCAGTAGCTCAACCTCGAAACTGCACTACAGCAGCTAGCTCCATATATTTGATATGGCAGGGTTTTTTTATTACACCAGATGCTCTACCTGTCCCCTACCTATGATCAAACCAGGGATATTATGCTTGTTAGATACTATCCTGTGGAGCCTCTAATCCTGATATGAAGTTCATAAAAATCAAGCAGGAAACAGACGGAAAGGGATAAATAAGTTCAAACTTCCACTTTGATGGAATCATTTGGACCTCATCTTCAGCCACGCCTGCTCGTATGTTTTGGCATCTACAAAAGCTAAATGGCATTTCTTTGCTCCTCCTCAGGCTTTATGCACAATCATCCAACCTCTGCACCTTGTATTTTACACAGTAAAGCCCCGCACAAACACACAAACACAAACACACATGCACAAACACCCAAACCCCTCGAAACTGACCTCCAGTGACGCCAACAAACACAAAACCAAGCTCATTTTAAATTAAATGCTTTCTAT